CCACTGTGATTTTTTTTCCCCTTTGACCCACAGATTGTAGAAGCCTGTTAGCTAATTTTCAAATACTTGGAGACTTTCCGGACATTTTTTGTTATTAACTTCTAACTTAATTCTGTTAGAAAATCTACTCCATATGGTTTTAATCCTTTCAAATTTACAGAGGTTTTATGTCAGCCTTGGTAAGTGTTCTGCATGCACTGCAAGTGAACATCTGCCTGCTGTCGGGGGCGTGCCCTCCAAGTGCAAGCCAGGTCAAGTTTGTGGTGGGCAGCTAGTCTCTCCTGCCCTTACTGATCTTCTCCCTACTTGTTCTCGGAAGTTTACAGGTGAATTTGCCTGTGTCCCCTTTGTGTCCTTGTGCTTCTGCTTCGTGTATTTGGAATCTCTGTTATTTGGCACAAGCACCCTCCCTGGTAACATCTCGTTATAAAGTCTGCTTCATCTTGGCCCAGCCACTCCGGCCCTCATCCGCTTAGTGTTCATACGTTAGCTCTTTCTTGATCCTTTTGCTTCTAACCCAAGTCTTAAATTTGAGGTCTGTTTCTTGTAGACAGCATACCCTTGAGTCTTTTTAGTCCAATTGGACCAATCACTGCCTTTCAGCTGAGCGAGTGTCTAGACTGATAGTTCATGTGATGATTACTGCTGGATCTAATCTGGTCTTTTCACTCTTTCCATTTGTCCTGTCTGTCCTCTTCTGTTCTCTGTTTTTACCAGCCGTCTTCAGACCAACGGTTGTTCTTTCTGTTGACTTCTTAGCTGTTGTACCTGAGGCTACTCGGGTCGTGTACCTCTTTAAGTACCACAGCTGCCTTCAAATATGATACCACTTGATGTAAACATAGGAATCTGAGAAACTTATGGCCTCTCTCCCTCCCGCCCTTTGCACCCGCCTGTTTCCATCTATTTACTTCTACAGATGTTCTGTGTTCTGTACTCTGCAATTCCTTGTTAGGCTTTCAGTGAGCAATGATTTAGAAAAGAAATTTGAAACAAAATAGATCTTTTTTTTTTTTAAAGATTTTACCCATTTATTTGACAGATTGAGAGGGGGAACACAAGCAGGGGGAGTGGGAGAGGGAGAAGCAGGCTTCCTGCCGAGTGGGGAGCCCGATGAGGGACTCGATCCCAGGACCCTGGGAACAGAAACAAAATGGATCTTATATTTACCCACATTTGCCAATTACAGCAGTCTTCACTGCTTTTATAGATCTAAGTTTGCATCTGCTAGCATTTTCCTCATCTGAAGAATTTACTGCATGCTTCCATGTAGACCTGCTGGCGATGAATTCACTCAGCTTTTCTTGGTCTGAAAGTGTTCTATTTCGATCTAATTCAGGTTGGGAAGGATAGTTCACTGCATATACAATCCAGGTTGACAGTTTTTTTTCTTTTAGTACGTTAACGATTTCATGCCACCATCTTCAAGCTCGTGACGTTCTGACCAAGAAGTCTGGTGTTCTTACCTCTGTTAACTATTTATACGTTGCGCTTTCTCTTCCCCTGCTTTTCATCACTGCTTTTCCACGCTCTGGTTCTGACATGCCTTGGAAGGGTTTTTGTGCATCCCACTGGGATTCCTCATCTCTGAAAGTCCCAGTTGGTTCTTCTGCAATATCCTCTAGGTCTCAACACATTCATCTGGGCTAATTCTATTTACTTAACATTCAATACTGAGCACCTACTGTGTATCTGATGTCATGAAACAAAATAAAGATCCCTGTTCTCATGGAGCATAGGTTCTGGGAGCAAAGAGAAAACAAAAAAATAAGATTATGAACCTTGTGTGATAGGGAGTCAGCACCACAGGATGAAGTGGAGTTGCCTAAGAAGAGGGATGGAGGGGGCTAATTCCAAGGCCGGCGAGGGTGGGCTGGGAGCAGCCTTCTGGGCAGGAGAGTGGGCTCCACGGAGGGAAGCAGCAGGGCTGGAGAGGCGGGTGGTGGGCAGCGCTGACAGTTTCATCCTCTCTGCTGTGAGGTGAGTGGACTCCAGGGGTGTGAGGGCAGATATGGGGGGACAGGCAGCTGCTGGGCCTATGGGGGTCCCCCAGTCGGTCGGACACAGGGGCCCATGAGCCCCCAGGTCACTGGCCTGAGTAAGTGGAAGGACAGACATCCCATCAGCTGTGCTAAGGGTGGTAGGCAGGAGACGGGACTGGGCCACACAAACATCACAGGCCACCTGGGGGGACGCAGGTGTCACAGGAGAAGGAGGTGCGGGGCAAATGCACAGCTCTTTCCAGGAACAGCACAGCACGCTTTCGTGCTGATAACAGTCTAGTGCGCCGAGGTCTGTGGTGATTTCACCCAGTTCTGCATCCATCTGAGATCCTAGAAAACATGCGAACTGCTTTCTGAGCACCTGTTGAGACCCCCTCAAAGAGCCCCAAGCACCGGGGGCCTCAGTACCTACAGGTGAGGCAGGCGTTCCTGAGGAAAAGGCAGAGACAAAAACCCAAAGGGGGTGGTGGCCACACAGCCTGTGGGAGGGGGGCACACAGGGCGCAGGGGCTGGGTGAGGCCACCGCCTGGCCCCGAGAGGACCCTCAGGCGCAGCAGGCCAGAGAGGTGAGGGAATCACCCCCAGGGCCCTCTTCCCCGGGTGGGGCTGCCCAGTACCCATGGGTGCGCACGGGCGGCTGGACGGCGCGGGTCGGGGCCTGGGCTGCACGAGGAGCGAGCGACTGCGGGACGCCGGCGAGGCCAGCCGGGCCTGCACTGCTCAGCGGGTAGGGGCGAGGGGCGTCCTGGGGAATGACGAAGCCTGGCAGGCGCCCAGGCCAGCGCCCGGAGGCGTCCCCGCCTGCACGGCGAGGGCTCCCGAGCTGACCGCCTCCGGGAGCGGCGCGGACACCCGCGGGCGTCCGACGGCGGGTCAGGGACGGCCAGGGCCCCGCGTGCCGGCAGGGGCGGGGGGCCGCCACGCAAGCCGCCCCTTTTCACGTCACCCAACTCCGAACGTCGTGCGGGCCCTGGCCCTGGGGGAACCCCCCTGCCGCCTCCTCCTCGGCCCCTCTGGGCAGCAGGCAGCGCGGGGCGGCGCGTGGAGGCGGGGTCTCCGGCGCCCGCGGGAGAAGCGCGCACCGGCTCCCACCCGGGCCATCCCGGCCTGCCTGTTGCGGTGGCAGGGCCCGGGGCTCCCACACTCCTGGGCGACCGCGGCGTGGAGACCAGGCTCACCCCCCTCGGGTCCGCCCCGCCTCGCCTCGCCCCGGGACCCGGGCACGCGGCTCCTTTAAGGACTTGCTGCGCCCGCCCGCTTCCTTTTTCTCGCCCGCCTCGGCCGTCCGGACCCTCCGGGAGCGCGCCTGCGTCACCGCGCAGACCTCGGCCCCGCCCCGGCGCTCGCGTCTCCAGGGTCAGGGCGAGCCACTGGCTGCCGAGCTCGGGGCCACGTGACAGGAGGAGGGCGGGCTAAGGTGACAGCGGTCGCGTCGCGCCTTGGTGCGGTCGTCGCAGCGCTAACCTTCGTCCCCGCGCAGCCCGTGCGAGGGCGAGCCAATGACTGTGGCGAGTTGGGGCACGTGATAGGGGCGGGTTCTCCGCCGGAAGGGGAGGGGCGAGGCGAGCGGTCTGGTGCGCGGTAGGTGTCGCGGTCGTCGCGATACCCGGCAGGGGCTGCGGCCGGGCGGGCCCTCTCTGAGGGCCGGCCTCGTCCTCGGGACTGTTTCCCTCCTTCTCCCCAGGACGCGCCGCGCCTCCCCCGCTCCTCCTCCTCTTTCTCCCTCTCCCCTTCCAGGACCCTGTCTCTCCCCCTCCAACCCCTCCTTCTCCTCGGGAC